GATGCTTTGCGCGATACCGTTGGTATTTGGGAGACATCTTCCCGTAAATGGCCATCCTCTTCCTTTCCCGATGCTTGCGCTCGGTCTCCATGATAAGGGTCTAACATACAAAAAAAGAGGAAAAGTTAAAGACAAAAACATAGGTCGACAATCACAGCGTAAGATCAACAACGAAAAGGAAAAGAAGGACACTTACCCGTAAGGACATGTCGGCGACGTTCTGAGACAACTCCATGTCACTCATTTCCCTAAGCGTCTCGCTCTTAGGGGCAACACATAGAGGGGCTAAAACAGATGCCACTTGGTCGCAGTTCAACAACAAATTGTAATCCCCTAGAATAACTATGTGACGATCAGATCCTTCCACTCTGACCTCCACGTGAGTATGGCGACCTACGAACTCGCGAACATCCTCCGGGTCGACATCTGAACCTAAGCCTTCGCCCTTGACACGATGGCCCCCTACAACATTAGATGACGCGCCACCCTCAACGGAGCACACAGAGCCAGCCCCTGAGTAAATTCCTTCCTATTGGGGAGACCTCCCCGTTAAAATGGCATCGATCATAAAGGCCGGAACAGGTGCCGTCATCGACGCTCTACTTCTATCAGCGTCCACAGCCACATCCTTCCCAAGCTCCATTCTCCTCCTTTTTCTTAACGACTCATCCCCGTTAGAAGATTCGTCCAAAAGATGCAGGATCGGTACTGAAGAGGCCTCCTATCTCACGACAATGTCCTAAGAGGAACCTTCTACTAGAAGTGGTTGAGCATGACCCCCTCGAACAGACTCAGTCAATATAAACTGCATTCTTGTGGCAGCGGCAGCCTGTCGGAATGCAGGGACTGGTGCCCTCCACCTGGAAGCTCTTCGACCTGTCATCATGGAGAGTCGTATCAACAGATGACGACATATGACCAACAAAGCGATAAGGAAGAAACACTTACCGGATGGCACTCTCGGGCCATAACACTTTATGAAGGCGAGCCAATCTCGGGTTTTCACTGCATGGGTTAATAAACGGGCTACCCAATCCCTAATGCCGATAATAGGGCGAGGCGAACGTCCCATAGCTGCAAACAGGAAACAAACAAGCCCTATAATGAATATAGATGAAAGGAGAGAAAAATGAGTGGCGACACTTACGAGTCTCGTTCCACCGCTCCGGGAACCTGGCGGAGTCAGAAACAATGTGTTCAGTTTTAACAAAGAAATACTTATGCCAAAAATTGCGACTTGCTCGGTCGTCGGTCCCGACCACCAGTCCTTTTGTGCCACGATGCCTCAAATGTACCATGGTACCCCTATGGAAGTTGGGCGAGAACAGGTGCATGAGGTGATAGAGGAAGATGCAAAAGGGTGTTAAGACAAACTCCGAGAAATAAGGAGGAATAATCAGAAATAAAATGGCCAAGAATTTTTGAAAAAACAAACCCTCCACCTATTTATAGGATTGGGTGGCGCCAGAATCGAAGCGGAAGGTCACAGAGTTGCACCAAAATCGAAGCGACAAGCCATCAATCCCCCACCTCGAAAACACGCGTAATGATGATGCACGTGAGGATGATGTCATTTTTCGGTAAATGCATTACATGGTGTCTTGCTGAGCACGCTGACCGCCTACAATTGGCTAGGCCGTAACGCTTCGTAGGGTCAAATATCTACGTAAGAACGCATGGTGTCCGCTCATCGAGGACGCACCAAGTTGCAACCCCGACAAGCGGAGGGACTAACTATATGGGTCCAAATTTGGACAAACACGACCGTTGATGAGCACGACGAACGACGAGATTCACACAGCTCGACATCTTGCAGACAATAACCTTAAGACGACAAGAGACGGTACGACCCTTGCAGTAGTGCAGGCCCATTAGGGGACATCCGGAATATTCTCTCGAATATTCCCTATAACTTGTTTTTTAGAGCTTAGCAAGGTTCGGTTCCTTATATATAGAGCAAGAAACAACTTTGTAATGGGGGCTTTTTTGGCTAATCCATAACACTTACTGTAAACTTACTTACATAAAAGATTGAGAAGATTATTAATGAAGATCTTTCTTTTGGGTCTAAACGAGATAAGGAATCCTTATCATCCGCATTCCCCTTACCTATCTTTCATTCTAGAGATTATTATACTTAGCTAAGATTTACCCCTTCATCATCTTTGATTGATTTGCTCAAAAACAATTTGATATCTTTTAAGTCAAACAAGCATGAGATAAGATTTTCATAAAAATTACTACTACTAACTTTACATTAGTTATGCGAAAAGAAAAAAGTGAAATTAAACATTATGTCGAAAATATTAACTTTTGCGTGAAGATAATTTTCTCTACTGCACCAAACGAGAAGTTTTATTTTGTGTCTTATACAACTTAGATTAATTGTATGAGGCTTATTTTTGTCTCACAAATTTGTGAACCCCAATCTTACATTTCTAGGTCCACAGAAATCTGGGTCCACAAAACTGTGAGATAAAAAAATTATCTCATACAACTAGTGTCAGACACAATAAAATTTTCCGCACCAAACAAACATTACCTTCACTGTATAAACTGACAGCTGGGGATTCAGAGTTGCACTAAGAAATATGTCAATTATTACTAGGGCCCCGTCTCTACCAAAGTTCTCACCCTAAGAGGACCTCGATCCTTGAGAAAATGGGAAGATATATAATATGTTGATTGAGTGGGTTGAACCTTTAGACACGTCAAAAGTCAGCCTTACCTTTTATTTTTCTCTTTGAAACTAAAATTAGATTAAAGGCTAAAGTACTTTTAAAAAAATTATGTTTCAAAAGAATAAAACGAGAGGGGATGGGTGAAAAAGGGCCACTTGAATGAGTAGAGCACATTTCATATTGCTATGGATATTAGATTATGAATAAAGAATAAAGATTCTACTTGATAGTAATAGCGGACTGGATTTATGAGTTTAAGCGGACTGGATTTATGAGTTTAACTACTAAAACCGGGAAAAAACAGCGACCCACTATTCAAACCAAAAGAAGTACCTCAGTTCATTTATGGATAGGGGTAGCAAACGTGCAGGTTAGATCAAATACGGACAGGATAAAAATAAGTAATCAGGGACGGCCCTTTCATACAGCAAGTAAAGCAACCGCTTTAGACCCCATATTTATGGATGTCTCATTTTTTGTTACACCTAATAGACTATGTATAGGTTTTAAAAAAAGTTATGTAAAGTGAAAACACTTTGTTTTTTTTAAAACAAATATAGAGAAGAAGGATTTGAAACTGCCATGATTTCTATCAAGGAAATTGCACTTGAAATGAATACTGAAACCGAATTTCGTAAGAAACGTGTGATATATAGCAAGTATCAATTTGATGCGAATGTTGATAATGAAATTTCAAAATCTTTCGAAGAGTCCTCTAGAGTTGATTACTTTTATACATAATAGACAAGACTATTTTTTCATTTCACAATAGATTTGAACAATTCGAAACATATGAAAATATTTTTGGTTTTCTATTTGACAGTAAAAACTAAGATCACTAGATGTTGGAAATTTGAAAAATATATTGCCTTAGCTTAATCTTGAATGTTCTTTAAAACATAATAATCAATTTGATATTGATGGTCTAGATTTATTTTTCTGAATTAAAAGTATTAAGAAAATAGTACAATTAGACTATAACAGTTTAATTGATACACTTAATCAAATAAAAGATTTAATTCTTTTTCAAATTCCTAAATTGCTTATGGAATAGTGTTCATAACTCATGTTACTGTTGCTTCAGCGGAAAGAAGTTTTCAAAATTAAAATTGATAAAATGTTACCTAAGAACAACAATGTCAAACGAAATGTTAAATGGATTAGCTATATTGTCAATTGAGAAATACTTATTAGAAGTTATTAATTATAAGAAAATTATTAATAACTTTGTATCTAAGAAAAGCTAAAAAAAATAGACTTCAAATAAATAATTAAAAAAATGAAAAAGTTAAGGCCCCTAATTACAAGTTAGTGAGGGATTAAGAGTTTAATTCCTAGGTTACAATAGTTTGTAATCTGAAGTTTGCTCGGCAGTGAAGTTGAAATCCTATGAGGGTAGGTCGTGGTTTTTAATCCCGTGAGCTGAGAGTTTTTTACGTAAAACTCCACTGTGTTATTTACTTACTGATGTGTGCGTGTGTTCTGTGAAAACTAATAGAGAACTTGATTCTCTATATAGAGCCCGTTTGGATGGGCTTGTTTTAAGTGACTTTTAAGCACTTTTAAGCCACAAGTTAGAAATTTTAACTTTTGGCTTGTTTTTGTCATTTTAGCTTAAAAATAAGTGCTTAAAAGCACTTTTTTACTTTATCCAAACACTACAAAATTGCTTAAAAGCTATTTTGGCTTAAAAGCATTTAAAACAAGTCAATCCAAACAGGCACATAGTTTGGTGAACCTTAGTTTTCTATCAGATATATTATCTAACCCAACTCATATTTAATACGGATAAAAACAGGTTAACTTATTCATGACTTCTTGAATATGATAACTGTTGGGAGAATTCCTAGTCTCCCAAACCTGAGGAACCCCCAATTTGAGATTTTACAAATGTAAAAGTTAAACATATTAGTTATCTATTTTCTAAGGGGTTGTTTGGTTGGAATACGATTTATACCGGTATAAGTTATATTGGGATAAGTTATGCTGAGATTGTTGTTTATTCATTATTTGGTATGTTGTATTAAGAATGACAATTGCATAATTTCTAAGAAGGTATAAGTTATACCTGTGCTAATTACCCTACCTTCTATAAGGTATAATACTGGGATAACTCCTGGTTTGCTGACCAAACAGAGTATTAAGGTGGTATTAAATTTTTATACCACCTTTATACCTTCTTATACCTCATACCAAACGACCCCTAAATGTATAATATGATTCTTATCCATATTTAACTCATTTATAAAAAGTTCATTATCCAACGCATTTTTAATGAATAATATGGGCGGACCAATCCATTTTTAATGGATAATATGGGATGATACCAATTTTCTTTTAGCCATTTTACCACCGCTACTTAGGGAGAAGTTACCTCATAGATATTATATACACAAACTTTAAGCATCAAGAGGTCCTATTGGCCGATACTCACAGCTTTTCCACAACTGGAGGTCTAATCTAATGGCCTTTCTATTGTTTTCAGACTCACTATTGGATCTTTGCCATATTACGCTTATATATACCTTGACACAAACAAACAAGATGAGTTCTAGAGCCTGAACTTTGGTCCCAGTCTTCTTTTCCTGAGGCGCTCGGCAATAAGAAAGGCGAGTTCAAGTGCTTGAGAAGCATTAAGTCTTGGGTCACAATGTGTATGGTAGCGCGAGCTTAGATCATTGTAAGTAACTGTCCGAGAGCCTCCCACGCACTCCGTTACATTCTGGCCTGTCATCTCCAGATGCACGCCCCCAGGATAGCTCCCTTCTTGATCGTGTACATCAAAGAATGCTCTTAGTTCAGCCTACACAGATACATGCAATCGCAATATATAAGCTGTGGACGAAAAGAAAATCACTAGGATAGTGTACAAGTGAGACTTAGCTGGAGGAAAGGGTAGAAAAAAAGCAGTATTAGAAATCAAACTTGATTGTTAAATTGTCGAAACAATCAAGCACCAAGAGACCTCAATGAAATAAATCACCATTAGAGTTATTGCTCGGGTTACAAGTATCTACTTGCTAGGTATAAACAGCATAAGGTCACCAAATTTCCTAAATTAGTAAAGGTTCATTAGATCTTATTATCAATTAATTTCTTGCCCCTGTACTACTTCAAAATGTAGATACGAGAGCATGCGACCACCACACTTGTCATGACTCATTAGTGGCACTCAATCTTCTATGGTTCTTGGATAAAATACTTTATTTTGTATTGCCACAGGTGGCAGAAAATACAGCAGAATTCACCAACCACCAGAACATAAAGCAAGTTCTAATACAAGTATTAGACAAATAGGTAGAGTAGCATCCTACCCGGATAGAGTCAAATGAACGCGTTTTGAGTCCACAGGGGGCTTTGGTGGTATTTCCATGCATAGGATCACTGACCCAAGTGACAATTTGACCTGCTCCGCGAACAGCCCTGATCAGATGGGGAAGCTTTACTCTCATGTTATCAGCTCCCATCCTGGCGATCACTGTAATTCTTCCTGGTCTATTTTGAGGGTTAAGAATGTCAGTAAGCTTGACTAGTTCATCTGGATCCATTTTCTGACTCACCTGTGCATTGTGGAAACAAAGGTAGCTTATGTAGCATGTATGTGATTCAATCAGTCAACCAACTATGTCACAAATCCAAGTTAGTTAAAATATTGGAAACTAAGGTAGCTTAAAAGGTGGATACTATATAGTACCTTTTTTTGTGATAGGCAAAACAAAAGTCGGATACCATAATTGTACATTGTATATGACATTTGAACTCTGGTCAGTATGAACACTCTCCATCCCATTTATATGACTCAGTTTACTTTTTGGGACATCCCAAATGTTTGTCACAGTTCTTTTAATAATGTCATTGATAATAATTTCAAGAATTCAAATTCATGTATTATTCTAATTTTTAACTTTGATATGACGTTTTTTTGTTAAATTTAGCTTACAACTACCTCTTATACAATATATAAGTTAAATTAATATCTTAAACTCTATCTCTATTAAAACAAGACGGGAGGAGTATCTTTCTTGGACTTAAAACTTTGGAAAATATTAGTTCCTAATCTTTGTCTTTTCTTTTTGCTAACCAGTTTTCAAACATTCTAAAGTTTTTACCACTAATCACAGGTTAAAAGTTGAATCTCAGCATGTGGATGGTAAATCAATTCCACCTTTCCCTTTCAATTCCATTTCAAATGCAGATGATATTCCTTACAGCCCTTCATAATTAGCATACCTACCATAGTACCCCTTTCTGAAAATCAAAGTGCAGCAAAAGAAGTGCACTGTACCTTGATACCAAGTGGATTGGCAATTCCTCTCAGGAACTCAACATGAGCACCGTCCAATTGCCTTGTTCGTTCCCCAACCCAAATCATATGAGCGGAGCAGTCATAATAAAGGCCAGAAGTTGAATCCTCCCTCGTAAGTGCTTGTTCATAAGGCAAGAGAAGGCACTCGTGGGATGTCCAGAAGTCTGTTGTAGTCATGATTGGGTGGTCAACTGTAATCCCAGCAGCACTCATGAAGCCCATGGCTTCGTCTACTCGGTGAGCCAGTTCGCGGTACCTGTGTGAAGGGTATTACTCACTAGATTGCCAATCATGAAGTTACTATAGAAAGATCTACATGACTACGAAACCAAAAATAGACAAGCATTTTCTTGATAAGTAAGAATAAACTAACAATTCTTTCCGATAAGCAACTAAACAAACGTAGCAGAAGGCATACCTGTCACCTTGCTCGCTGTGATCAGTAAAGTCGAGATTCCACTGGTTAACCCTCTGCATGGCAGCATACCCCCCTGTAGCAAATGCTCGGAGGAGGTTCAAGGTAGCTACAGATTGAGTGTATGCCCTAATCATCCTATGGGGGTCAGGAAGTCTTGATTTCTCATCAAAGGCGTCACCATTCACATTGTCTCCCCTGTAACTTGGCAGCTTCACGCCATCCTTCTCTTCAAACGGATCAGATCTTGGCTTCGCAAATTGACCTGCCATTCTACCCACCTAACCAGTAAAGTACAAGTATGAATTAACCAGACCTTCACCCACAGTTTACAGAATCAATAAACTATATAAAGTAAGTCCTTTTTCACAATCACAGAAACTGCTAAAGTAAAGACATACCTCCTGCTTCTCAACTTCTAGATCCTGTTGTTAATTTATCTGCTGAATATGCATGTGTGTTTTGGATACTTAAATGTTAAACGAGGTCTTCTTAACTGTAAGTGAAAGCCAAGCCCTATGGAGCAAAGCAGAGTAAAGTACAACCATTGTATTGCCTAAGCAGCAAATAAGAATAAGTCGAACAATCATTTCCATTATAAAGCAACAACCTTCATTTGTCATCTTTCAAGTGCATCCTCATCTATCTCTTTCTATTAGGCCAACCATCCAATGCTGTCTCACAGCAATAAAAGAAAATGAAGATTTCACTTAACAGATGCTATGATGAAACTTAAATTTAAGCATTATAGGGTCAATTCGCGTAAAAACATAACAATATTACTAAACCACCTGAAAGGCAAGAACAATTGAAGACCAAGTTCTGTATATGTAATCATAGACAAATCCCACCTACGTAACAAAATCCAGTATGCCATGTGCTTACGCAAACCACCAAAAGTATTACTCCCATGATTCCATTTTATATTGCACTATTACAATTTGGAGAGTCAAACATGTTTCTTTAACAGTGGTTTTTTATACATTTTTAAAATATTGTTACTTATAAAAGTTGTGACTTATAGTAACACTATTTATGTATGTAATCATAACAACAAAAGAATTTATAGGCCAGGTTCCTCTAGCGACTAAGAAATTAGAGAGAAAATCACCTTGATAACAGGCATTTGACCACCAAACATAAGCACAACTCCCATCTGCAATATGACTCTAAAAGTGTCCCTAATGTTATTAGCACTAAACTCCTTAAAACTCTCAGCACAATCACCCCCTTGCAACAAGAAAGCATTTCCAAGAGCTGCTTCTCCCAATTTCTCTTCAAGATTCCTAGCTTCGCCAGCAAATACAATTGGAGGATAAGTTGAAAGGGTCTTAAGAACTGATTCCAGCTCAACTTTATCAGGGTACTCAGGTAGCTGAAAAGCTGGTTTTAACTTCCAGCTTTCAAGACTCCATTTTCCATCTGGGTTTTGAGCAGTTTTTGTTGTTGTTGAAGGTGGAGATTGAACGGCTGAGATTGGTTTATTAATTCTTGGCTTGATTTTGGAGTTTGATGGGGTGGCTGTGGTGGTGGGGAAGGAATAGATGGAGGTGGTTTTTTGTAAAGGTGAAAGCTTTGGGGTTTGAAGGCATGAATTGGGGAGAGCTGAGCCACCTCTGCTGCTGGTGGCGGCGGCGTCTGTCAGAGCCATTGTTGTGCCGAGAGAGAGATAGAGAGAGAGAACAGAGTGATAGAGAGACCCGGATTTGTATGGTACAGCTGCACTTTTCACCTTTACATAAGTTACGTGGTCCGTTGGTTTTTTGTCTTGCTTGTTTTTTTCTTCTTAATGTGCGCGCACGTAATAACTTCATGCATGTGATCCATTTATTCAACCGCACATGCCTTTGGACATTTAGCACGCCTATATCTTGAGAAATTTGCAACGCCACGCCACGAATTATACTGAGTTTATTATTACTATAAAGTTGATCAAGGAGGAGGACCCGCTGCACCCATTTACTTAGTAGGAAAAAATCTCATATAAAAATATTGGAGATATTTTTTAAAACGAAGAAAGCAGAAATAACGACTTCAACAGTGAGCAAAAAACATTTAAAATAGTGTGGAGGTAATGAGTAAAAGACTGCACAAAATCAAAAGTTTACTGTTGAAGCTCGTTAAGTGAGAAAATTAATCCATTTTATTAGTTGCACGGCTGTTTATTAATAAATCATAGACTTCTCAGGAATTTCTGAAAAAGAAAACAGCAGTTCACAAGAACGATGGCTAGTAGAGACCCAATCATTTAAGACTCTTAATCAGCAACCAGTTCCAACTCTGCCTGGAAAGTTATCTAGGCAATTCTCGTATCCTCCACTAACATGCCTCTTTGCCATTTCTGTCTCAAAACCCACATACATGCACCACAGAGACAACATAACCCTTTTGGAATAACAATATTGCCCCGCCTTTCAGCCAACATACAGACTGTAAAATAATACAAGAAACAGTTTTTTCCCCTTTTTTTTGGTCCCCCAGGGGAGATAGTAATGTTGATTCCGCATTCAACTGCAACAAATTTGACATTAAAAATTTAAAACCTCTATGTAGTAGAGCTCTCGAGGACACAATAATAGAATTGATGATTACAATCTCTGCCACAAAGGCCTCTAACAGCATGATTTCATGATAAATAGGATCTGCAAAGGCAATTAGCCATACAGGTGGTGCGTCACTACTACATTTAATGAGATGTTTATCTATTCCACTCCAGCGGTACGTATGTCTCGAGAAAGGCAACATCTCAAAAGTAGGGGCTATAACGCATGGGTGCCCTAGCCCTAGGAACCTTCCTGCAGGGGAGATATTATGAAGTTGCCTCACTAATTTAATCAAGTAAATTAACTGATAGGAGTAGCAAACAATGTGCACTTCAAGCGCAGAAGAGAATTAACCATACCCATATCCATAAGGAGAATAAAAATAAGGAGCAGGCATGAAAGGTGTTTGGCCGCGAAATCCCATATACGGGCTTGGACGCCTTGCACGAAACTGCTTCATACCAGGAACATTAGTCCGCTTTGCTGATACCTATACACAACACAGCATTTGCAATCACAGGAGCGGTTAAGGAAGGGCCAGACAAATGAGAAATGATAAGAGGAAAAACAAATAAAATGTTTTATATCCAAAGGTATTAGCACAAATATGAACAAAGTGGATCTAGGACAAAGAATTGACCTTAATTTGGCGGCCATGAAGTTCAGATTCATTCAGAAGAAGAGCCTCTTGAACAGCTTCCGCTTCGAGAAACTCAACATAGGCATATCCTTTCGGTTGCCCAAATTTGTTAGTCCGGATAGTTACTCTGTTAACTGTGCCACATGCCTGAAAATGCTGTTGCACTTCTTCTGGAGTGCATGAATAATCCACCTGCAGAACAACCTCAGCCTCTCAGACCAGATGAACAAAACAAAGATATGACTGACTTCAGACAGTACCCAAAATTCAAGAAGGCAATAAGAAAATCCAAGTGTAAGCTTAGCTGAGGCTTAGTAAATCACACCAAGGTAAGTTGCAACAACACCACCATACAAGTCAAGGAAATGATAACAAACATCCTCTTATTAGTTTACAATGTAACCACACCATCATGCACATCAAGGAAAGGATAAACATCATATTGTTTGTTCACCATGTAAACATGAATCCTTAACCTTAATGACTACCTAATAAGCAATCAAGAGCTATATCAGACAATTCCTTCTCCATGCTTTTTCCCGTGAACAGTGCTTCAACATAATTATGGGCGCTTTCCAACCAGAGTCAACTAACATTCCTTAACATCAATACGGTAATGACTCTTGCTCCCAAAAACTAATAACCAAGAGTATCAAGGTCCAAAACCATCCAACGTCTCCTTGTCTTGGATACTGTTAACAGAAAGCAGCAGACATGGAGGTTAATATCATCGTATTTAGGGTGAATTACTTAGTAATCCCCTCTAGTTTAGCAAAGCTAAGTTGACTGGCAACCTAGAGCAAGTGATCCTTTCCAACCACCCTTCCACGACATCTTTCTGTTCATCGGAGTTGACCCAATCTCAATTCACGTTCCAGTTTTATCGAATAGCAGGAACCCTAGTCCGGTGAAGCACAGTTCTTTTCCGACGATTTTCACTGTTTCACAGCAAGGTTTTTTTTTTTTTTTTGAAAAAGTTCACGCAAGGGTTTTCCAATTCCTCCATCAACAATGGGAGCCAATCTACCATTTGAGAGACATCCCAACTAGTTAGACTCTTGACTCTGTATGGCCAATCTTGTATAAAGTCAATAGTGCTTATTTTCAAAATACTTATTTCTTAGAATATACTCTCTCCAGTCTCCCTTCTTTAACAATTTCATTTGGGATGTTATTTTTGTTTTGTGCTCCCATATTGCCCTCTTTTTTTTTTTGATGACCGAGAAATCCTTCTGGGGCCGATCCTTTGGACAAACCGCAGCCTTCGAAACTCGGTGGATAATGGGCCCGCCCCTCTACCCTTCTCCACTTAAATACCAGGCTTTGCTTTGCATGGTGTGGGGGCTTGAACCTATGACCTAAGACACAAATCCACCACCTTTTGCCACTTGAGCTAGGCCCTGGGGGCAATTGTGCTCCCATATTGCCCTTCCAAAATATATAGTGTGAAATGCCTCCTCTTTTACAAACTACAATGTGACACACACATGCCACTTAATGTATGCCAGAAAATGCACACATGAATAATAGTCATAGCCATTTTATTCAAAGAGAACAACTAAATGATTATTTCAAATTAAACTCAAAAATGTTATTACTATTTTTATATCACCAAGTAGAGCTCAAGATGCGCAACCAATTGAACAGAAGAAAAAACAACTGATATGAGAGTTAAGCAGGTGTCCCGAGTGGCAAAAGCTACATTAAGATAATCTTTAATGAACAGACCATGAATTTCTTAAAGAACAGAAGCCTCACATTGCCAACAAAGACAGATCGACCATCCACTTCTTCCCTGTTCGCTTGAGTTGCAGCAGCAGCAGCAGGGTCTGGTTTCAATTAAAGGAAAAAATCTATAAATAAAAGCAACACATGGATAAACCTTATCACAAAGCAACACATGAATAGAAAAGGATTTTAGCGGCTTTTGATGCTTTCTTCAGTGATTATTACTGAGAACTAGGTATCAGACAATAAAATTTAACCACCGTTATTCCACATTCTCACCACCGTGCTACCACAAGTAGAACCCTTAAGACTGTAAGACAAATATACGGGATAAAACAACAGCTATCATAGGAAAAGTTATTGGTTCTAGACTTCTAGGTTCAAACTGTTAACAAAGAGACAGGTATTTTAAACTTGTCCAATTCAAATTAAAAAGTACTTATCAACAGATACATCAAAACATCTAACCTAACCATAGAATTTGACTACTTATAGACATAAAGCTAGTTGCTACTTGTACCACATTCGAAGTCCAACTAAATCTACGACAACTATTTACTCATCATTATGCATATCAATAAACTAACAATGTGACATAGTCACGTTATGAATGCCAAAAGTTACATATAAACAAGCACACAAGGATGTCTATTTCAACGAATTAGCATAAAAAGCCATCTATTTATTTACTTATATCATTCTATTACACCCCAATCCCAAACTTGCTCGTGTCAGCAACATATCCTCGGTATATTTCGCTCTATTCGAGACTATTCATTCCAATAGTGACACGTAATTCGAATTTTTAAGGCAAATTAAAGTTGTCTAGTTATTTATGTATTTAAGCAATAACTAATTAAAGGGAGAGAGACCTTGAACGGAACCCATTTCTTTCTCAACTTTGGCTTGCATTTCAAGTAGAGCAGCAGATTCGTCCTCCATCTCCTTCAACCTCTTCTTCATCTCATCCATTTCCTGTTTAATTACATTTTCTTTTAACATCAATTCAATTACCAACAAATTAGGGTTTCAGTAATCCCAAACAAAAACGGTAAACGGGGGCTGGAAAAAAATTGAAGGCGAAATTAACAAAGAGAAAGAGGAGCAGGAAAGAACCACGGCTGCTCTGTTATCGGCGGCCGCCATCTCCACGTCGTCCTCCATTGCCGTTCCCTCTCTCTTCCTCGACAAAATATTTACGTATGAGGCTAAAAAGAGACGATGGGAAAAATAGGTAATTAGTTACGTTATAAATTGGGCGAAAATCATTTACACTTCCAAACTTTGGTTAAAAATCAAACTCCTCCCTCAACTTTAAATAATAGTTATTCTCCCCCTTTTATCGTACACAATACTTTTTTGCCCTTGGATCTTTCATTTCCTCCTTTATGTAGTACTTTTTTATTTTATGATATTCTTTTATGATTTTAGCTATAATTTAAATTATGTTATACCGATTATAACTTGTAATTTAAGTTCATTAAAAATTATAAGTAGAATAATCTTCTTATAAATGTTATAAATTTATTGTTATTTTTATGATTGTTATTTTAATGTAATGTATATTAACTATATATTTAAGTTATATTTTTTAGTGATGGAGCCAGAAATTCATATAAGAGGATTGAAAAAACCCATAAAATATCATATTTAGGATTTGGACGTGTAACCTAAGATAATTTTTAAATCACTATACCACTTTAATATCATCTCTTTATGTCAAAGGGATTCAAAATTTTATATACTAACTAAAAAGTTTACTTTTATCCTATTTACGCAGTCTAATTTTCTAGCGAGAGGATTCAATTGAATCCTCCTACCTCCTCCGCCCACTAATTTTCTCTCTTATTCTCTATTGTAGATATATATTGGATTTTGATTACCATTAATAAACTAATTTCTAAA